CAAATCATCCTACAATCAGGTGCTTTATTTTCTTTACGTTTTCTGTCTTGTTGCTTACACCATTGAAAGCACATTTCGTCCCATTTTGGTTTTGGCAACGGCTCTAGAATTATATCTGCTGCAGCTGTTGTTGTTGTTGTTTTTGTTGTTGTTGAGTCTTCTGAAGAAGTAGTTGATGAGTTTATTGGTAAAGAAGAATTTGATGAATTGGATTCCATTTTTTTTTTTTTTTTTTCAAACTTGAAATAATGTATCCGTGTAACAATCTGTGCACAGTTCATTCTATGGTTGGCTTGGTCTAAAGACCTCCTATTGCTGCGCCATGTGACCAAATTTCAAAATAGCAATTTTGTAATTCGTTCAAAAATTTTCAAAAAAATAGGACTTCACGTGATTTTAGTTTTCTTACTGCCAAATTTAGATATAGACTTTCTCGCACGAAATAACACAACTATGGGACAAACTCTTATTAGCATTCTTCCAAAATATAATATTCCAATTACTTCTCCTCATCTTTTCACCTGTTTTGTGCACACATTTGACTTGATTTAATTTTATTATTTAACAAAATCACTCTAATAAGTTGAATCAATCAATTACGAAAATCCATCTTCCTTGTAAAACTATGATGGAATGCTTGGTTTGAAATGATTGGTACATTATACAAAAGATCATCTTATGTACTGGACTGGTTTTTTTCAAGTCAAGACCGAACTTGATGAAACAGAAATATTAAAAACTATTGTATCACTCCTTACTAATAGACAACAATTTGGGTTCATTACATCTTTACCAAGTTTATTTCATCAATTTACTCAAACATTGAAATTTTTTCAACAGGAAAAACCAGTACGTATTTCCCTTTATTGAAAGTCAACTACAAAACCTCTCAGCGCATATACATTTCACTCTCTCTATAACGGCCTGCCTGATTTGGCAAAAAAAGGCCGTATAGAGAGGGACCGTTATAGATAGTTTGCAGATCATAGTCATGTGATAAATTATAACAAAGATTTTTATTTTATACAATAAAATTTATTTAAAAAATAAATGAAATAAATGAAACTAAATTATTTATAATTTGCATACTTATTCAATATTAAAAGGCTATTGTTGTTGTGAGTTAAAATCAATTTTTTTAATTTTTCTTTTAAGACTTTTCAATAATTTAAATTGCCATCATTTAATTCTGATTGTTGGTCAAGTAAAATATGGTCTTTATATACGTTTTGAAATGTTTATGAAGCCATAAGGAGGTTGACTTTTCTTACGTCATGCTTACAAACAATTATTACAGCAAAACTTATGAATTAACATTAAAGTCATAATGACATTCTTCTTTTTTATGATCCTTCAAATACAACGCGTTCGAATTATTAATATTTAATAAGTGAGCGTGACACACTGAATTTCTTAATTTGGTAATGATTACCTCAGATCATGATCGTCGGCCGTTATAGAGAACATATAAAACATTTCAAAGGCAGGCCGTTATACACTATAGGAAATTTAATTACGAAAACCGTTATAGAGTAAGGTTTTTATATAGTAAAATTTGGGTTCTGATTCACAGTGCGTTATAGAATGGAGGTCGTTATAGAAAGGGCCGTTATAGAGAGAGTGAACTGTATATATAGAAAATAACATGTTTGCAACAAATTTTTTTACCTTGGATTCAATAATCACTAATTGTCATTTTCAACCAAATGGGTTTTATCCTATATTTCCAAAATGTATTTCATGAAAAGTTTGCAGCACATATTCCTCTCATCTTGGATGTCCTCTTTTTCGCGCATGTCAAATTTTAATCAAAAATTTATTCAATATAACACGAAAAGATATAAAGAAATAAACAATCTTTATGATTTATTAAGTGAATGGGCCATTTATTGTAGATCCATATTTAAATATAATTGCAGCGTTTTGTTGCAATTTTGATGGGTGCCTAAATTGTTTTCAGGCTTGAAAATCATGACTAAACCAATATTTAGACTTTAGACATTTTGACAAGCCTGAAAATTTTTAGACACCCATCAAAATTGCAACACTTTTATCCAACATGGCGTGCCATAATACATTAGTTATTTTCTAAATTTGCATTAGTTACACGCCGAAATTTATACACTGGTGACGATCTCTGCAAAACATATAATGCATTATTGCATTAAATTTTCACCAGTTACAATCCTTGTGACATACACATGTAAACTCTATAAGTCGGTCATTTACTTATATTATCAAGTACAATTGGTTGCTGCGTCCGACTACAGAGTTTACATGTATGTATATTGACATATTATGCAAAAAACTCAATTTTGGTCTATATCAGACGTCCCCCCATTTTAATTATTAATATCACATAATTATGTGAATTATGTGAATTACGTGAAATTTGTGAATCACAAAAAATCATCGACCCTGTTTTCCATCTATCAAATTCAGATTTTTCCGCGAAATTTTTGACTTAATTAGATATATTATTTAACATCTTAAACAGACTGACAGTATATAGAAAATTCAGAAAGAACAATTTGTCGTAAAAAAGCACGAAAAGCCGCAAATACAATGTACATATCATTTTGTTATTAGAATTAATAGTATAATATTATCGATTATGGTAATAATTTCAAATTCACTATGTATGTATGTATCTGATTAATATCAGAAAATGTTAAAGCAACGTGCAAGCAAAAATTATTTCATGCTGGGAAGAAAGCAATTTTCGTTTTATTACTCATTTATAAAATAATGATAAAATCCTAAAGCATCCTAAATTCAAACTTATTTCCTGAAATAATAATAAATAATCTTGTTACATGGACTTATTAATTATTCTAATTCAAGTCTTCGTATAATATTTTTACATTCTTCGAATTGCTCAATAAGCCTTTCTAGTTTATCAGCATTCTTATTCCAGAAAAATTCAAGATTTCTTAATACTGAAATTATCGAAAAGACGCTATCTTGTATACTTTCTGACATGTAGTGAATTTGTTTTCCACTTAAACCATCAGGAACTTTTTTATTTTTTATAACAGCAGATTCTACGGAACGCGAGGCTACCCTAGATAACCCAACTAACGCTGCGCCTGCACCTGCTGCTGCACTTGCTGTTGCTGCACTTGATTTCGCTGCTACTGCTGTTGCCGCCGCCGGTGCACTGACTAATAAGCAAATTCCGCCTACAATAAACATGGTTGTTGTTAGTCCTTTCATTACTTTTAAAACTTTTTCCCTTGATTCAGCGTTTTTTAAGTCATCATCATATTTTAAATTTGTCATATCTTTCACGCCAAATTCTGTTCCTTTATCATAAACGGTTGTTCATACCTTCATTGAGAGATTTAATTTTGGAGTTGGTACCTTCTATTGTCGTTTTAAATCTTTTGGCATCATTCAAAAGTAAATTCAAATCATCTAATATATCTTCGTTAGAAATTGACTCATTATTACAAGATTCAAAAAATTCCATTAACTCTTTACCAAGACCAACCAAATTGTCACAATGGGAAATTGATTCGGTAACAATCGAATCGGATGCCAATCTACGCTGCTCAACTGTCTGGAATTTTGTGCTTTCAAAAAATCCATTATTAGATTCCAAAGTCACCCTCCTAGCACTTCTAAGAAATATGATTGACCTTACAAACGTGTCAGATAAATCTCCTATACGTGGGTTTGGATATGTCTTCATTTTCGGGGGGTTTTTAATTAAAGACTTTTTTTTTTTTGAAGGGTTAATTTTGGTTTTTTTTTAATAAGAAAAAAGAAATTCTCGATGCAAAAAATTACTGTATCCTTTCTATTATCGTCCGAAATGTGGTATAAAGTACACCCCAAATGATTAATGAAAATCAATCTAGTCGATTATGGGTATAAAACCCTAATTTAATAATAGTAACAATTTTCTTGACTTTAACATATGTAATAGTTTAGTCAAGTGTCTCATCAGGGTCACGCACTAAGCCCTTATGAATGCATTAATTTTGGGAAGGAATGTAAGTACTTTTGACTTGGATTAGAATAACTTTGACTTTTGACATCAGTAAAACAATTTGATTAACAAGAAACTATACGAACATTTTATAAGATTACAGAATAACCTTTTATGGGACAGGGTCTGAAAATTGATATATCCATCTACATTAGTTCTTCTATATAAGTAAATAAATAAACAAATGAATTTTTGTAAAACAATTGATAAGAATTCTTTTTCTTTTAATATTAATCTTGTGAAAATCAAAATCATGAATAACCGATTTTGGAACCAAACTTGAAACAAAGGCTTCAGCAAACAGGTTTCAATTTACCTTGGCAAAATATGTAATAATAGTAATGCGGATCAAAATATCGAGGACATATTAAATAATTAAAAATATTTTTTCTTTTTTTAAGTTTCATAAAAAATCCCATAAATTATTAATAATACGAACTTGGGGCCTTTTTTATGGCTCTATATTTGCGAAACAGCATAACTGATAACATTTTTCTTCTGATTATGTAAAGACGGTGGGTGACCTTTTCATTTCTATTAATGCGAATCTATGGTGAGGCGGTCACAGAAAGTTTTTTTAAAATACTTTCGAATCATGTCACATTTAATAGAATTACTATTACTATGAATGCGCTGATTTTGGAAGATTTGTACAACGTAAATAAGGAAAGCTTTTTTTCATATGAAACTAGTTATTTATTTATTGTATAAACAAACAAACACAGATCGTTCTATTCTCAGAGTTACGAGGTAATGATTCTCCAGATAGACAAGAATTTAAATAGAAAAAATAGTAAGTAAAAAGTTACATGCCAACTTTCCGTTTTATAATATATTAATAAAAAAAAAAATTTTTTTTCTAAAAAACCATTAAAGATATACTTGAAACTTTTCGACGTTTAAAAGGATTAAATACTAAAATTTCCGATATAATGATAAACAATTGGATAAGTTAAATCTTAGATTCAGTTAATTAATATTTAGTTAATATAAGGGCCAAAGAATGAAATGTTAATGTATTTGAGGATTTCATAGTATACTTTGATGCTTACAAAAGATAATGTTACCACCAATGACTTGTTGCAAACATCATTAATATTAGTACTAAAGATGTGGCTAAGGAAGGCTCTGGGAAAATTTTAAATCCACATTAAATTATATTAATATCGTTACAAACAATCAGGAAGTGCTGCTGACCAAACGGATTATGATTATTATCAATTTATCGCCACGATTTACCAAATTGAGTTAATATTAAACCCAATATTCGAGTTTTCTTCCAAAGTTAAAGTTCGAGCATTGCGTAACGCAGGACTATAATCATTAGTTCCACAATCTGGGCAAATAAATCATATTACTTACTGAATGATGGCTAACTTGTTCCGACACATACCTAAATGATTTATCTGGATGACTATGACGATGATATGAAAAATTATAGATAGCAAGCAGCCAACCTCCAAATTTACGTCAAATTTTATTATGATCATAACAATTTCTGCCTCGACATATTTTTTGTTACTTTGCATTGTGTTAATTTTAATTCAAAAAAGATTGAATTCTCTTTTTTGGAGGAGATTATTTGTCATCAAGTTCATCATTAAACAATCCAGATGTACTGCAATCGTCAAATTCATCATTAACAGTTCAGATGTATCGCAATCGTCAAATTCATCATCATTATTAAACAGTCCGGATGGATCGCAATCTGTTCTATTTATTGTTAATTTATTATCAAAATAACTTGACAATTTTTTATAATGGTAAGGTAACATCTAGGAAAGCAAAAGATCGAACGACTATATTAAATAGAAAGGACACCACTACGGTGAAATAATGTCATCCATATATACACGACAAAGGGAACAAAAAATACAATGAAATATTTCAACAAAATTCCACATATTTGTTTCTGAATCGATATTTTTCAAAATGCATAATTCACATTTTTGTTCAGAAGTAATATATACATGAAAATGAGTCATTTTTAATAAGGTATTTTTTTTTTAATTATATAGGATTTTAATAAAGATTTTTTTTAATCATCTTAATTTGATTTTTTTATCAAGCATTATTAAATTGTTTTGAAATCGGATAAATAATCTATTAGATTTTTTTGTTGTATTTTACGATTCAATTGTTTTGTTTTATTATTCACGTGCATTAAGAAATAATTTTATTAATTAGTAATTTTATATTAATATCACATGAATTCGTTGAGCTAATAGATATTTGATGGTGAGGTAATTTTAATTTTAAAAATCATGTTTCTATAGTCACACGCTGTAGTCATATAGAAAAATTCCCATCAAAAATGCGATCAAAAGATAAATATATTTAAATAATAAAAAAAGTGACTATAACTATTTGACCGTACCAAACAATAGCCGAAATTTGGGTATTCATAATGATACTATCATAAATGCACATTATAATTGGTCACTAATAGTAGCGCCTAGAGGAACAATCTTTCTAGACAGGCAAGCCCCACTCTGTTCATTATTATTAATATATAGTAAATAGGTCAAGTTTTTAGATTACAGCGAGTTTTTTTTTCTTGCTAAATAAAAACAATTTTTTTATATATAACAAAAACATTGAAAAAAATCGCTAATAGTTAAACTTTATAACAAAATGTGTTGGAGCAAAAAGCTCTCTATAACTTTATTATAGAAGATTTAAACAATAAAACTATAAAGTTTTGTTTAATTTTATTATGAAAAAAAAATTTTTTTTATCATAGTTTAAAATTAATAGAAAATTCTTAAAAAATATATTCTCAACATTTACGTGTTGAATACTAAAAATCAACAGCCACAGGACACCATAATGATTGATGTTTGGTTAAATATCAAATATCAGTCAAGGTGATTTTTAGCCGAACTTTGTGGATAGAAAGCCCTGACGTATAATTCTTGATGGCCAATCACTAAATGATAATACTGTAAAAAATTCTTGGTGAAATCATCTTATCTTCTTCCGCTGTACAAGGTTTTAAAGACATTTGTAAGAAACAATGCAGTGGATGCTCGGGCAAGGAGGGAGACACAGAAAATATGATGTAAATTATGACTCTATACATACACCCTTGTGTCAATTACTGGATTTCATCAAAGATCCGTTAATATTGGAACTGATAGTCTCCGTGATCTTATATGCAAGAATCAAATTTGCTGGTTTCAGGCACACATCAAGAAAAGAGTTTTGAGAACAAGCTTCTATACGACAGCAGATAGCCTTTAAAATTGAAAGTCATCGTTTGGCCTGATAATGCTGTACGCGGAAAGAGATTTGATTGTAGTTAACGTTAGCATTGGCGTCGCAAAGCCAAAGAATGCATCAAATGGGATAAATGAGTATGGGTTTGACAATGATGGTATCTAACACTCTGTGGGCATTCAAATTACCTCCATTATATTTTAAATCTCTTTTTGATTTCGTGACATCAATAAACAGTTTGTATATAACAAACCTTTTGACAAAGTCTTAGATGGCTCAAGAAGTACAGTCGTTTCATATGGCGACGAATGCTTTTGAATTGCTGGCAAAATGATTGTGTTTGATAAATTTTTTTAATAACAAATAAATAAGTTTTTTATTAATTTTACAAATTTATTATAAATATAGGAATCGGATATGGTTGCTTGCTTTTTGGATTCGTGATTGGAAGCAATGCGCAGCAATAAAAGCAATAATTGTATCAAAGAGAGAAGACAATATATATTATTTATATACATGTATTTATTGCATATATGTAATTTTTTTTTTATTTTGAACTATAAACAAGAATGAAAATTATGTAAAAAAAGAATAAAAATATATATATTATAAAGCAAAAAAAAAATAATTTTGTACAAAGAAATTAAACTTTCATAATTATTATATTTATATATATATATGTATATATATTATTATTATTTATAATTAAATTTCTCCCTCATAAATAGTATTAAATATTTCTTAATTTTTTTTTTAATTTTATTTTAGTTTTTTTTTTTGTTTTTTTTTTATAATTTTTAAAGTTTAATTAAATTCAGGAAAAAAAATGGGAAAAATTTAAAATTTTTTAACTATATACACAGAATTTAAAAATAAATTTCCCTCATAGATATTTTGTAAATTCTTAATTGTTGAAAATTTAATTATAATTATTATGATGACGATTAAATAATTGGTTGGTTGTAAGCGATTAAATTATTACGATTAATTATTATTATGACGATTAAATAATTATTATAATAATTTTTGACGATGGTTAATGATGATTTTGATTTGAAATATTATAAATAAAAAAAATAAATTCTGCAATTTAAATTTAAAATTAAAATTAATCTAAAGAAAAAAAAATAAAAACACCTCAACGAATAAATAAAAAAATAATGTTGTATAAGATGCACATCTTAGAATGTGTAGGTTGCACAGTCTGTTCCAACTATAGTCCAAACCGCTGCATCTGTTACGTCTTCTGTCCATAATGCACCTGAATTTTTATTGGTATTAGATGCTAGTCTTGCTAAATCTACCTCACTAGCTACTCCACTTAAACTATTGACTCTCCTCCTTTTGTTTGAATTGGTTGATGATGGTCGCATTACGGCAGCAGGAGAAGACACACGTCTTTTACGTCCAACTTTAATATTCTCAGTTAAGACATCAGCAGCAGCACCAGACCAGGCAGGCGGTGAAATGTCGTTTATGGTGGTAGATGCAGATGTAGGAGTGGGAGTGGAGGTTGTTGAAATGATGATCTGTCGACCATCATTTGCACGTTGCATTCCAACAACGTCACCAAGACAAGCAAGATAAGTACCTGGACCAGAAGGATAAATTGATGATGTTGTTGTTGTTGTTGTTGCTGCCGTTGTTGTTACTGCTGCTGCTGACAAAGTAGCGTCTTTAATCTGGAATGCTACTTTATGAAGTTGAGATACCGGGTCCCCAATAGCCTCTTCATTATTATCAACAATTCCACCACCAACTACCATACTACCTTTGTCTACCTTGCGAATGATCATTACAGGGCTTGTCATACCGGTTGTCAAGCATTGTAAAACAACTGGTTGATTGTAGTGGATTGGTATTGGAGCATTAGGATCAGATTTTAAGGCAGATGGAGGAGGGCGGGGGAAAGCTTGTTGTTGTTGGTTATTGTTATTATGATTGTTATGATGGTGATGGTGATTATCATCTTTACCCTTAGTATAATTAGGGTCAACTATCCAAATGATAAATGGATCCCAACTTCCAGTACGAGCAACAAAACAAGGTTGTTGTGGTGGTTGAATTGATTGTGTTTCTCCATTATTATTGTTGTTGTTGTTATTGTTCAACATGTTATTATCCTTGTTGTTGTTATTATTATTTATGCCACTATTACCATTAGGATAATTACAAGAACCAGAAGTTTGATTAGCATTTTGTTGTGTAGAAACGCCAAGATATTTTGTTGAGACTGTTTGAGATCGAATACGGTTGAACAATGAAACAGTAGAACCATGGTGAATGCATAATTCCATATTTTTTGCACTTTGTCTTTTCTTACTTGGTTTACTGATGACTTTAATTGGTTTACTGGCAAAAGTGCCAATATTATCACCCATTGGACTTTGAATGTTAACCAAGACTTCGACTTTCTTTCTTTTTTCATCAGCATCACTAATATACAAATGCTTCGAAACGCATTTTCCACTGAAATTCATTTCTGAACAAGTTGATGTAGGATCAAGTGAATTTCCTGATGGGCTAATCCATTCAAGAATACCTTGTTGATTTGTCTGTTCCCCTGATATGCCAACAGTAATCTTTGGAGGACTAAACGAAGTAGTAGTAGTGGTGGTGGTGGTATTAGTAGTAGTATTAGTTGGTGACGCAGACAATGTATTATTGTTGTTGTTGTTGTTGTTATGTGATGGACACCACCAATTGGAACCCAAGATCATTGTCGTAGGTGGTGGGCATAAGAATCTTTTTTCAGTTCCATAAGACTTTTGTGCTACCTTTGAAGTCAAGATCATCACTTTCTTTTCTCCTGAAGTAGAGGAGTATTGATGAACATTATTTGGTCTCATTACATTATCAGTTATTAAATTTTGATGCTGGTGATGATGGTGATGGTGACGATGTGTAGCGGCAACAGATTTACTAGTAGGTACGGTCGTAATGGGTGAGAGAGCAGCAGCGTTATTATTATTATTGTTGCCATTTGTAGCTATTCCATTTAGATTGTTGTTATTTTCGGGTTCAGCTTTTGCAGCATTAATTAACTTTTTACTTTTTATGAAATCATTATTACCAATTCTTTTTCTTTTGTTAAGATTATTAGTATTATTGCCATTATTTCTACTAATTCTATTATCATCGTCATCTTCTTCCTCTTTGATTGATTGAACAATGGATAATGATGGAGATGTAGGAGAGGAGGGAGAAGTAGTTGTGAATGTGGCATGAGAATCGGATGAAAGAACTGGAGTAAGTGGTTGTGATTTCAAACATGGTGGATTGGACAAAGTTCTACATTTACTACGTCGTCTTTTATTATTCTTCTGATCATCAGTAAAAGCAACAACAGGTGAACAATTGGTGACGTTGGCGATGATTTCGGTGGTAGTTGCGTTGTATGGTGATGATGGTAATGATGATGTAGTTGATATTGAATTAGGATTACAATATTCGCTTGCATTAAAATTATTATTTTGATTAGAAGAATATTGATTGGGATGTTGTTGATCAAATGACGACGGTGAAGATTTAATGTAGTAAGAATGAGCTGATGATGAGGAGATGTGAGGAGTAGTAAAATAGTCAAATTTTAAACTTGCTTCAGTTGGAGAGTTTGTAAAAATTGGTGCAAAGGCAGGTTGATTGTTAGGATGAAGATGATGATTTTGAGAAATGTTGATTGCACTAGGTGGAATTGTTTGAGGATCATTTTCGATCTTCAATACATTATAAATAGTATTATTATTATTATAATTATAATTATTATTAGTATCAATTCCTGTATTAGTAGTGGTCGTAGCAGCAGTAGTGGTATTATTATTTTCATAATTTGGTAGACCTTGATAAGAGGAAAGTGTAGGAATGTAAGAGAGACCATCATTGATCAATTGATGATTAATGTTATTAAGATGATTTTCCTCGTTGATCTTTTGGTTAAAGTGATCAGTGAGCGTACTAAAATATAAAGGAGAAGATGGTGCAGTGTTAGGCACAGGTGAGGGAGTTCTAGTGGAGTTATTGTCACCGAAAGTCAAATCACAACTATCATTCGTAGTGGTTGAAGTTGGCATTTCATTGTAATTGTAAAAATCATCAGGATTTGCTGCCGAGTAAGAAGGCATCGTGGCGACATTTAAAGGCGTCAATATAGGTTTTGTTCGATTATTATTATTACCATTGCTGCTATTTCTATTTGTATTTTTATTATTATTATTGTCTGATATATTAGATCTATTGTCAATGGTCTCGTTACTATTATTGCTATCATTGCTATTATTGTTATTAATGTTGACGTTTAACTTTTGTTGATCCAATTGGGTATTGAATTGAAAGAGATCAAAATTTGATAAAGCGTTGGAATCCAAGGTGATGTATGGATTATATAAAGCAGAATCATTAAAACCATAAATGGTGGATGCATCAGTAGCAGCAGTGACGGCGATATCATTTTGTTGAGCAGATTGTAAATTTCCAGAATTTATGATCAAATCAAAGTCAACGACGTTGTTTGAAGTATTATCAATAACGGTAGCATCAGTATTAGCATCACCGGTTGTTGCAGTAGATATTGTCGTTGTTGCTGGATAGCTGTTAATAGTCGATGATAAAGATGAAGAAGAAGACGGTATTATTGGTGAATTTGAAGAAGAACAAGACGATGATAATGAGGATGTCGTCGACACATATGGTTGATAAAATTTTGCAACGAAAGCAGCAGCAGCAAGTTTTTCATTTATAAAAGGTTGTATATAAGAATAATCAAATGATTGCTCTTGCTGCTGTTGTTTAACACAAATATTGTTATTAGCGTTATTGTTGTTACAGTTATCGTCAGTTTGATGAAGATGATAAGAATAGTCACTATTGTAAAATGGAGATACCATATCAACAGCGTGAGATATTGATAAGTTGTAATTATTATTGCTATTATTATTATTATTGCTGGTACTGTTGAAAGTTTCAGAGGTGAGGAATGGTGACTGTACCATTTTTTTTTTTTGTTTCTTTAAAAAAATTCTAAAATCAAGAGATGATAATTCTATTTTCTTTTAAATAAAAAAATTATATATTAGAATGACAAAATAATTTTATAATTTGATAAAGTTTAATTATAATTATATTAATAATTATATATTTGAAGAAAAAAAGAAGTGTTAAAAAAAAAAAGCTAATAAATATTAATTTTTATTATTAATTTATTTATTTTTTTGTAAAAGTATTTTTTTTTTGAAAAAAGCAAGAGAAATATATAATATATATACTTTACGATATATTTATTATATTAATATGTAATTTATATATATATAATTGATAAGGTTATTATTGTTTTAAAAATTATTTAAATAATAATAATAATATTTTTAAAGTATATCAATATAAATAAATTAATTATATTATAAATTGTATAAATTATTGGGGGTTTCCAAAAAGATTTGGGCTCTCATTTGAAGAGTGATGATTAAAAAGTGATTTGTGATATAATTGGGTGATATGTAAAAGTGATGTGTTGAAATAAATAAATAATAAAGTGCCAAGAATGATGTAATTAGCCTACCGTTGATTTTAGTAGAGAAAATAATATTTATTGGTTAAAAATTATTTTATTATCTGCTATTATTAGAGGATAGAGAGATTTATTCGTTAAAGGTTTTTATTATTTTATAAGTGTATTTTTCTGTGGAGTATTTTTCAGTTTTTTTTTTTTTGATTTTTTGTTTTGAGAAAAATTGCGAGTATTTATGGAAAAAAAAAAGGGGACACTAAACAATTTTGTCGTTTTGTGTATGGGTAATTAAATATAATAAAAAATATAAATATATGATGAATTAAAATATTGATTTTTTGGATTAAAGAAAGGAAAAGAAAAAAAAAATATTTGATGACGAATTATTTGTTATTAGTTTCAGATGATGATGATTATGACGAATATATACACACAGTTTAAGATAAAAATTAATTTTGATCAATTATTCGTTAATTTCAAAATTAAAGTTATAAAGCATTAATTATTGTATTGTGATGAAGAAAAAGGAAAAAATATCGTCAAAGGGTTAATATTTTTAAAAAAAAAACAAAGAAAAGGGAATTAAAGGAGAAGAAGAGGTTACGAACGGTTTTTTTATTTTTCAATTGATGAAAATTTGTTCTCGAAATAAAAAAACAAACAAATAAAAAAACGTAAACAAGTTGAGAATTTATAAGATAATGTTTTTGCATTTCTTTACTTTAAATGTATAAAATTAAAATATCTATATTTTATTTTATCATTATATATTATAATATAATTATATGGATTGTTTATTATATTTATTTCTTTAAAAGTATGAATATATAAATTACAATAGGTTATTGTAATTTTAATGGCAAATCTCTCTTCAGAAAATTACAAACAATAAGGTGATTTTTTTATATAACTGTAGTTTAATTAATTAAATCTGTTATATTGTTGATTGCCATGAAAAGTAAAGATCTGCAGACTGAGTGAATATAAATATATACAGCAGTATGACAATTATAACTAAATTAATAGCAAATTTCTAAAATGGCGTGTCATTATCTGATTTTTGTGTCTTAATACTGTGTATTGTTGTTGCTGGTGCTGGTGCTGGTGCCGGTGCTGGTACTGGTGCTGGCAGATGAGAAGTGGCAATTATGGTACGACTGTTGATGATGAGACATCGATTGGTTATTATTGGGCATAGGTAGATATAACCGATGACTCATATTTTTATTCAATTAGTTTTTATTACATAAAAAAATTTGCCATCAAAATTTTAATAGTCAAAAGCTCGATACAACAACACTCACCGATAAACCTTTACTGCGTTTAATTTGTAACACGGCATAATTTCAACCTATAGAAGTATTGATGGGCGTATATTTGAGAAAGAAAGAAAATGGAATGTTATTAAAAGTTGGTAATGATTAATTAAAGATGGATTTTCTATTAAGAATAATATCACATTGTTTTTTGTTATATATTTAGGAATGCGGTATAGTGTTTGCATTAACATTTTTAATAATTAATTAATGATAATAATTACATTCGTTATTATATGGATTAATGTATGATGAAATTTAGACAGCTAAACAATTTGTTAATTGCGGTTAACATGAGAATGCCAATATTTTTCTCAATTTCAAAATTCAATTATTTTATAAAATTTTGCCTACCAATCAAATTTCGCTTTTTACATAATCTAGAAGAACAAAGAACCATACCAAAGTAAGGTGATTTTATTAAAACTATTTAAATATATAAATACATACACAAAACTTACAAATTTATATAAAAGTGGTTATCGGACTGGCTAATCTTACCACAATAATGATCATCATGTGTTAAAAAATTTAAAGTTTTAAAGGTCGTTTTTTTTAAAATATTTTATAATTAATGGTTGTACTACCACTTATCTTTCACTAAATCGAAAATAAACAGTGTTAGTATGATTGTTCTCGTCCTTCTGTATATACTAATCCCAAGAAGGTAATTCAGATAAATTTAGATCCAATCACATCGATCACTCATTCACTCGATCGAATCACACACTTGACAAAAATTGGGGCAGTCCAAGGTGGCCCAATAATTATAAATTCAAAAAAAAAATTTAATTCATTAATTTGATTTACCATATTTAGAAATTTTTATTTGAAAAATTATGTCAATAAAATTTAAATCTTAAAAGAATTCTTTTTAAATTGACACTCACAACGCATATTTATTATCCAATTATACATAAATATTTACTTGTTGGTTAGCTATATATACAGTATACAAGATAAAACAATGACGCTGATGATGGTTCTATGACGAATTTGTTGTATATTTTTGATGTTTTTTTAATCATTACATCATTTCATGCAATGTATAATTATATAAATGTATAGATGGATGATATTCACTCCCTTCCATCCAAGTTGAACATATATAGATAGATGGTTAAATACGGTTAAATAGATTAAATAACTATAAATTTATCATCATGTAAAATAATAGGCAGAACGAATGAATCATCGGGATAGATACGTTCAACTATTTATCCTTATTGTTATTTAAAATCAACGACGAACGACACAGTTTAACTGATTGATTTCAAATTCTTCGAACTTTTAACTATCGAACCAACTATCATGCGTCATCGTCATCTCATCATCATCATTTATGTGCGTGTGTGACATTCATTCTCCCCTCCCTAAAAATTTTTTATCACCTAACAAACAAGTTAATTATTATTATCACACAAATTTATATTGCCTTATTTATTTAATTAAAAAAAATTTTTTCTTTGTAATTTGGGTACCGGTTTAATTGATCGTTTGTTTTTTTTATGACGTTGTGTCCGTGTCCTTGCACTTACACACACGCGTACGCGTGCGCACACACACACACAAAAAAAAAAATGCATTAACGCACAAGCCATTTTTTTTCAACATGTATCACAAATATTTTGGTTGTAATCAAAATTATTATAATTTAATTAATATATGCACGATCTCTCTGAACAATGAAAGAGAAGTGGAGATTATTATTTATTATTGATGGCGCAAAGCGTAAAAAGAAAAATCTGCTGTTTCTGCTTCCTTTTTTCTTCCAATAATAATTATTATAGTATTTTATTATTATTAATACTACTAGGAATAGTAATTCTTGCTGGTTTTTTTATCCATTGTTCTTCAATTGTTCTAACTATACTACACACGGACCACTCCATTACAAAACATTGAATTATTTATTTGTATTAAAAGAGAGGGGATGATGTGTATGTTATTCTAATAAATGAAAAACAAATAATGTAAAATCATGTGATTTTCACAATATATAAAGTGTGAAAGAAATCAAATATATTCATTCTTTAAAGATTATTAATCATTGTATTTTTCATTTCACCACATCTTTGTTTGTTAGGTTGTTGATTGATTTTATTTTCAATCACCATTTTAGGGTTTAACCACAGGTTTTTAATCACTAATTTAAAGTTTAATCACAGACATTATCACATATTTAAAGTTAAATCACCGACGACTTTTTTAACTGTTAGTGTCAAAACTGACGTCAATATATTAATGCTTAAATTATAATAATAATAATAGAATTTAGAATAAATATATTATACTGTTATATAGTCGAATATCATCGAACATGTTTTTGTGTTTTGTATTAGGATTACTTGGCTGAAAAATTTAAAAAAAATGTTAAAAATAGCCAAATAAATAAAATAAACAAATAAATAAATAACAAACAAACAAACAATTTAATTAATGCAAACAATAGTAATAAAATAAATAAATAATAAATACAATAAATAAATATACTCTGTGAATTAGACTCGAGATCTTTCAAGCAATCCGGGTAACCTGCTTATTATTTAAATTATTAATAAATAATAAATAATTAAATAATTAATTATAAAGTACTAACTTGATTAGAGGCTTGTAATATATAATAAGTTATTTCTTTTTCTCGACTATTCTTTAAGCTAATAATTGTTTTTCTTATCAACCAGTTAACAATCCGCAAATCTGTAAATCTATAATATTATTCAAAGTAAATAATTAATGATGTCAAGTTGTTATTATTATTCATGTGAAGTTATAAATAAATAAATATATTATTACATATAAATTAAATAAATAATGTATAAACATGTTAAAGATGATTCATACAAGTAAATATAAGGGCATTTTTTTTGTAGATCATAAACGAGAGAATATTAGAGAGGGCGTTAACAAAAAAAAAAACGAATGTAGGTGATGGTTTGTGATATAATTTATTACGTGATAATATTTTTTATCAAACTTTTTTAATGTATATATTTGGTGATGTAATTCTACATAATAAATTGGTTGCACATATAAAGTAATTATTTAATGGTTAATAGGTTTGGTTTGTAGCATAACATGAAACAACAATAACGAAAAACATATACATAGTTTATCATGGTAAATAAACGAGTTAACAAACAGGCTCCTACGACGATGACGATGATGATAACAATGAAACTGGTCGGTTTTTGGGAATTAATAAAAAAGAAAGAGTCAAGTGAATCACCTTTTTTTCCAATTCAATTTAACTTACTATGACAGTTCATAGAAGTGCACATAGTATGTATATATGTATGCATTTCATATATATATGGATGCTGGTAATAAAACTATATATTTTATTGGTTGGTCTTTTTCTGTGGCAAAAAAAATGTTAATACTTCTGCTTCTTAAAAACCAACATCATTATTGTTATCGTTATCATTGTAATTTGTGGGTGTAACACCATGGGTTCATAATATTATGATAAGCTTTTTTTGTATTTATTATTATTATTTCTTTGCTTTATTTTTGTCGATAAGCGAAAAATGGTTGATTGTTTTTCTTATTTCTTTAATAAAGCAACATTATTTAGCTCTTTAATTCGACCAATGATCCTTTATTTCCTTAATTGTAATATAACAATTCCACGAATTACTTAATTATTATCATTATAACATATATATATATAATGGCACATATTTCTCTTTCTAACATATTATTATTACTATGTGTGCGTATGTATATCTTCTGCAGCGTATACAAATTTAGATTTATTCAAATTACTTATCAATCCTCTGCGACTTCCGTATAAGGTTAAAATGACCAATAGAAGTAGAAAAAGGAAATCGCATAATTGGTATAACGTAAAAAATTAAAAAGGTGACAATGGAGGGCATTATAAATGTTTATCACTTATTATAATTGATATTATTAACTTTTATTATTGCTTCTTTGATTATTCCAATTAATCACTAGATTATTCGAATTTGACGTAATTAATCCGCGTTCCAAAAAAACTATTTTTTAAATCGTACATTTCGCAGCAATAAGCGTGATAATGGACGATAATATTGAAAATTTTGATTTTTTAGGGTGTTTAAAAAAATTTTTTTAATAAAAATTGTAATTTTCCGCAAAAAAATATTCATGTTAACGCATGTATGCATGTATTAACATGTATTAGTTATGTAGGTTATATTTATATTTATATTTATATTTATATTTATTTATTCAAAAACTTTAATTTTTGGTAAAAATAAATTACAATGAATTACAGGCTTTTAATATCAATATATATTAATATATTATATACATATATGGTTATATTATCTGTTCTAGAAACAATTATACCATTAAAATTTCTTCTTGTATATTAAATAAAAAGAGGTATGGCGTTTATTATTTTTAAAAGAAAACATAGCGAGCGAAAAGAAAGAAAGATGAAGAGGAAGCAACGAGATTGGTTATCCTTCATTGTTTTATCTTTAGAACAATGGACATGAAGATGATTTAATCTAATCAAGAAAAATTACTTCTATAATTGGAAATATTTCTTTAATTACATCAAATTCATAATTAATTAAATTTCATTGGAATCGAAGATTCTTTGAAAATAAAATGAAATAAAATCTTTTATAGCAAAATGGCAATTTATTTATTACTCCACAAAAAAATAATTATATTACTTGTTGCTTACTTCTATCTTATTAGTAAAACAAATAATAAACAAACACAATTACAAACGTAAAAAAATGTGGTGAGATTGTGGGGAAATTTGTTTATATTTTATATTTATATTTTGTTTAATCAATTGATTGATTTTTAAGGGAATGAATGCTTTTATAATAATAATTAATTGTTCAATTAACAGTCAATATTATTATTATTGGTATATTGAATATAACAATATACATAATATTAAGAATAACAATAATAACAATCAAATAAACAAACAAATAAATAGTACGTGATAAACATAACAATAATAATGAAGCGAAGGATAATATGACTTTCATTCTAGCAAATAAACAACCCAAAGGTAGAATGAATTAATGATCATTTTGTTGTACGAAATATAAATAAAACGAAGCAAGAAATAAATTAGAGAAAAATCAAAGAAAAATCAAAGAAAACCAAATTAAAAAAATGATCGATGAATGAATGAATGAGAACGAAAGAAAAAAGTGAGATTAGGCTGTGACTCGTAACATTCATAGTATATAATACAATAACACAATTTAGTATATATAATTAATAAATTCATAAAAAACTCTAAATTCGATTTTAGACGTATCACTAACTTTAAAAAGAAAAATGATTTGTGTGGGGTAAAAAAGGGACATAATAACAAACATTTATGCAACTTTATTATAGGTGAGATTGGTGAGTGATAATTAATATCCGCTATTATATCACAATGTCACCAATCAAAAATTTTAGGGCGAAGAGAAGTATTATTGTGAATCGTGATATCTAATGAGGGGCCCTGGTTCTGTATTAGTACAGATTTGCATAAGGGATATTTACAATTATCACAAACGAACCATTTTATACAATAGTAAACACCTTAAATCATTGATATTTAATCAACCAATCATTAAAATCATTCGCCCGTTCAATTATCCATCCATACATCCATACACGTTTCATACATGGTATCATTAACATTTTTTAAATTGTAAAAAATTAAATTTTTGTAGGAAGGTGCAAGATGAAAATTCATTATAAATTTCTAAAATTTGTTTATTTGTTTATTTTATTGTAAGGTATACCGTGAAATATAAATTACACCCCACGAAATAGTGATTAAAAATAGACGAAACTCCCAAAGATTACAAGTAGCACGAGATTATCTTTATCATGAATAAAATAAAAGAATACATTTTTGTAAAGACAGAAAGAATTATAATAAAACAATTGTTTTTATTTTTTGACGCTTACCTGTTATAATAATCAAGTAATCTATCTAAGCAAAAATGAACGAAACGATGACGGTAACCAAAGAAGGACCAAGCGTAATGATGACGATAATGATAGTGATGATGTAATCATTTATTATTTTTATTGTATATTTATATAGGGGTGTATATTACGTATTATACTGTTTATTTTTGTATTATTTTATTTATGTATATTATTTTGTATATTTTTGATCCACTCATTTATTTATTATTATGAATAAATAAATTAAGATTTGTGTTTTTCTGTTTTTTTTTTTCCTTGATTGATAAATAATATTATTTGGCACTGTCTTTCGTATATATTATATGCAAATTTGTTATACAGTATATTTACAGTATACAATTTATCCTTTACTAATGTACTTCCAACTTAAAAGAGGATCACATTTCTTTACTTATTGTACGGGTAAATAAATAATCAACCAAACCAGGGACTTTCTGCCAAATTTAGTGATTATGAAATGTGGGAGGAACAAATATTTATTTATTAATTAATTAACTTTTCCTCTTTATACATGTTGATTTCATGAATTTCGCTAACAGCCGCCAATTCATACAACATAATATAATATAATAATATTAATATATTATACAACAACAATAACAACTCCACATAATTTTATTACTTAATTTGGGTGTTTCCCCGATTTTTTTTTTGTCATAAAAATCCTGCGCCACCACAAATTTCAATAACTGAATAATTAATGTATTATTGAATTATTGATTGAATGGTGATATTTACCAAAAATTTAAATACAATAGTTTTTTGATTTACACATACATTACTATTTCTGATAATAGACCTTTTACAATGGATATACCAGAATGTGAAAAGTTATTGAAAAATATGGAGATCTTTAAATTTCCATCCATATTGATTTTCTGAAATGAAATTCTTATTTAATATAAACGTCATTGGTCTATCTATATGAATTGCTCAATTAATCGAATTTGTCATATCAACGAGAGTTCCTCCATTGATCTTAACAAAAACTGACGTGATCGTCGGGAATTTCTGATGATATCCACTTGTTTAACATGATAGATCTTATTCTCTAATGATAGTCCTTAAATTTTGCATTTTTGGTATCAATAATAATAAGGCATCCAAATTAGCCGTTTCCATAACCACAACTAAAATTAGAATTATGAATAATCTTCCAATTTGGTTTTGTGCTATCAATCAAACTAGAAATATAATCATAAATATCATCATTTGGTAAATTTTATTCCTCAGTATTTCTAAAGATTAAATATTTTTACAAATATTTGCAAATTTATAAACAATTTCAGATCCGTTAATTTCAATTCATAAAGATCATGAAAACTAAGCATTGAATCATCTAGGATGATAAATCAAAATAAATAAAAGAAATCCTTTTCTTCTACCAATAAACAATTAATTATTATGCTGTTTCTGGCATATAGCAGATCTCTCCGTAAAGCCTGTATATTGATTATGTCATCGTTTATCGACCAGAATGAAATATATTTCTGCCAAGTTTCGATAGCAGTCAGGATGTAACATTATTATCCAATCAAATTTTTAAATTTATGGAGATAGTTTCTAAATTTGTACCAGTTACACAACGAAATTTCAACTGTTAATTATGAAAGTTTTTTATTCTGAAATTTGCTTAAAGCATACACCAAAATATGAAATAACGTATGGCCATTCAATAGTTCATCCTGGTAAGTTAATATAATCAAATTAATATATAAAATTACAATTGAATTAGTAAAAGTTTTTCCGACTTTCTTGCTCTTTTTTTTTTTTTTTTTTTTTTTTAAGAAAGTCCGTCTCGTCTTACGATCATCAAGTCACATTTAATTAAGTTAAAAGAACAAAAAGAAAACAACAACAACAACAACAACAACAACAACAGTCATGATTTTGAGATTTTATCACCTCAAGATTATGGACTTGATCCAATTCTAAGTGTTCATGATAAAGATTATGTGGATTTTCTTCAAAATTCTTATTATGAATGGTGTGAAGAAGGTGGTAATAAAGATGGAGTGGTACCTGATACCTTTGCGCATTTTGGAATGAAAACTTCATTTAATAAGAAGAAAATTACTTCTACATTGGCTAAAGCTGGATTGTATTGTTTTGATACTACTTGTAATATAACCGAAGGTAATTAATTATTATGAGTAGAGAATATTGATTATTAATTGATTGATTGATTTTAATTGTGAATATAGATACTTGGAAAGCTACCTATGAATCAGCTCAAGTCTGTATTAGTGGTGCTATTGAACTTAAAAAATTGGCATATGAATCAGATCAGTCATCAATTGGTATATTTTGTTTATGGTAAATATTATTAATCCATAAATGTTAATATTATTAATCATAAATACTAACCATACCTTTATATATTTTATATATATATATATATGCATTCTCTTCTAAAAAAATTTTTTAATAGTAGACCACCTGGACATCATGCAAATCAGAATTTATGTGGTGGATATTGTTTTCTTAATAATGTTGCAATTGTTACCAACATTTTAATTGATAAAGAAAAAAATTTGAAAAAAGTTGTAATTTTAGATATTGATTATCATCAGTAAGTGACCATTACATATATATGTTATAATAATGATGATGATGATGATAAATATTTATATTAAAAAATTTTTTTAGTGGTAATGGAACTCAAGATATTTTTTATTCAGATTCAAATCCCTTATATGTTTCATTTCATGCAGAAAATGATTATCCATGGTATACAGGTGATGAGTCAGAGATTGGAATTGGTGAAGGTGAAAATTACAATATCAACATTCCTCTATCAAAAAATACTGATGATCAACAGTATTTAGAACAATTAAAAAATATTATAAAAAATAAAATTATTCCTTACAATGCAAATTATCTTGCTGTTTCGTTAGGAGGTAAATATAAATAGGATATTTTATTATTAAAGAAATATTAATTTATTAATTATTTGATTTATTAATTTATTTGATTTATTAATTACACTTATATATAAAATTTATTAACAAAGTTGACACATACAAAGATGATCCAATTGGAGGGTTAAACCTTACTTCTGAATGTTATCTTGAAATTGGCAAACTTATTAAATCAATAAATTTGCCAACTTTATTTGTATTGGAAGGTGGATATCATCTAGAAACCATAGGAATTAATGTCACAAATGTATTATTAGGATTTGAAAATTATTGATATCTATATTATTATTTACTATTATTATTATTAAATTTCAGGGTTCAGCTAAACACCAAAATGACTTTGTTCCTATAAGATTATTTTCTGATTATTTATTTGGTAAATTTAATGATAAACCACAATTGCCAAATACAATATGACATGGTATGGCACATGTGATCAATCAGAAAATACTTTTTACATGTGTAAAGAAGGCAAATATAAAAGAAAGGAGGAAAATGATAAATACAAGTTATTGTTCTTTCTTCAAATTTGTTGAAAGCTGAGAAGTTTCTTCACCTGCCCAGTCCTCCCAAGTAAGTATGATCTATTGGGTTCATTGACAATTTTGGCTTGACCTTCCATGCTTATAACCTGGGAATAGATCAGTTAGCAGAATCAACATTTTGGATTAATAATAAAGAAATGATAGTCACTCTCATATCAACATTCTAATTCTTAAATGATCCTGAAGTATATCCAAATGTTTCTAAACATAAATGGCAAAAAATAAATTTCATTATTAATAATGTAAATCGTTATGTTAATAGGATTATTTTGATAGATGATGGAGATACCATAAACAATAGGTGCTTGTTCCAATCAAAAATCCAATCTGCATATTTGTCTTGCCTTCGAAGCAGCCTTAATCTATGATACATTTTGGGTACAGTTTTAATTACAGCTTTGGAGTAAATCACACCCCATAAACTTGTAACTATTATTTTTAATATTTTATATACTAATGTCAGAAATAAAATTATTGGAATGATAAAAATAAAAGCCCATGGTACTATCAAATGGTGCTGAATCTGAAGTATTTGTATTCACCTATTAATAAAAGATATATATATAGCACAATTTTCCCCCAAAATTTATTCCTTTTAAAAAATTCAGTTTTGCTAATTATTTGTCTATTGAATATTAATGCATTAGTGGTAAAACAATCTTTTGTTTTGTGGATGAATCAGAAAACCACAAAAATATTTTTCATGAAATATTTGAACATGAAATTTCATATGTCAATTGCTATAATTTTTTTTTGGAACACTGTAAAAATTTTAAAGATAAAAAAAAGCCAGGAACATAAAATTTTGTATGTAAATTCTACATTATTATATAAATTTTATGTGATATTCTTATGTGGGTTTTGATCAAACACTGTCCAGATGTGAAAAGTGATTGTTGTAAATGCTCTCTGGATTTTCTCCACCTGAAGCTTGAAGGCTTTGATGACTTTATCCAAAAGTCAAGATGTGGTGTAGATAAAAAGGTGTAGTAAGAGTTACAATGATATTTCTCTGATTCATAGACGGAGTTCATAAAATTAATATTTGTAATGTTTATATTTAATTCTAGTAATTAATCTGGACTTGCACAAATCTCTGTTCACAATTTAATTGAGATTTAGTATTGGATTATTTATTATTCTACAGAATTTTCCCACGTCGATCAAAATATGGATTTTGAAATTTTCAATCTGGTTTCTTGCATGTTATTAGGATTAATAACATATATAGCATTATATTATATAAAATACTTTACAAGAACATCACCTTTACCAGGCCCAACACCTTTACCATTAATTGGTAATCTACACAGTGATAATTTAAATGAGTGGCTAAATAATTTACAATCTAAATATGGTGATATATTTGAAGTTTGGAAAGGTTCTGAAAGACATATCTGGATTGGTAGAGCTGATCTTGCTACTAAATTGTTGAATCCTTCTTATAAAAATAATTCGTTTCCTTGGAGATTCGGTGAGAATGAAGGACTAGATTTAATGGATATGACTAGAAAAGGAACAGTTTATAATCGTGACCTAAATAGCCTTATCTTTAATCGTAAATATATTTCGCAAAGTTTAAATTCAGTTAAATTTCTTAAAGAATCTATTATACAGACTGAAAATTTATTCAAAGAAATGGAAAATTATTGGAAAAACATTTATAAAATTGATGATGAAAATGATGATGTTGATAAATTTATTAATTTATCAGATTGGATGATGAGATTTATGACTGATTTTACATTTATGATGATAACAAATCATAATGTTTATGCATTAACAAATTATTATGCAACATTTCAAAATATTAAAGATGGTTTGCCTGATAAAAAAATTCTAAAAGAATCGGAGAAATTGGTTGAATCTATTAGAGCGCATTTCATGGCATCAGTATTTTTTAAGGATACATCAAAATATTCAAGATATCTATTGCCTGGAAATAGACTTAAATCTAAAAGATTGCTTGATCAAGTTAATTGGTTAAAGACTAAAGTAATAGAAATGATCAATCAAAGAAAACAATTAATAAAAGAATCAAACAATGAGCTATTATCTTCTGATATGTTGACTATGCTATTAACTTTGAATGGAGATTCTGAAAAAGGTAATGATAATGATGATTTTGAAGATGATGTTAAGGATGAAAGTAATAAGAGATTAATGACTGATGATGAAGTTCGTGCAAATATCTATGAAATATTAGGTGGAGCCATTGACACCGTATGTGTTCATATCTAAATATTTATTTATTTATTTGTCAAACAATTTATTAATTTATTTATTTATCAAATATTTTTAATTTTATTCAAGACTTCAAATACATTTTGTTATATTATTTATTATATTTCACATTATCCAAATGTCGAACAAAAAATGCTGCAAGAAATTGAAAATATCGTTGGTAAAGATGTTGATTCTATGATAAATTATTATGATTTACATAAACTTCATTATTGTGAAGCAATTATAAAAGAAGGTGGATAATACACTATTTTTTATCATCATTGCCTTTCTTTTCTTTCTTTTCATTCATCCTTTTCTCAACTAATTTTTTTGTTTCGATTTTTTTCTTTGATAGTATCAAGACTTATGCCCACAGTATCAGTATTATTTCGTTATTCCTCAAAACCTGAACAAATAGCAAATTACCAATTTCCGAAATCAACTCAATTCTTAATAAATGTCCAAGGTGTTCATATGAATCCACTTCACTGGAAAGATCCCAAAGTTTTTAATCCTGATCGATTTCTAGAAAACCAACAATCTTCTATTCATAATAATTCTTTACTTTATTTTGGTGGTGGCAGCAAAATCTGTCCAGGAAGGCAAATTGCAATGTTACAATTGAAATGTTTGATGGTCCTATTCTATAGAAAGTATGACATCAAATTAAAAGATCCAAATCATCCTATAAAATATTTCTCTACTGTTGTAAATCATTGTTTAGAATTACCAATTAAATTACAAATAAAAAGACAATATAGATGAGCTACTTTGCAATTATCAACAAGGTTTGCCCTGTGGATTTATATGATTTCCAAATATCAAATGGGGCATGCACAAATTTTTTTAAGGGCAAAAAGCAAAAATAATCCATCAGCAATAAGGCAAGCATTTTGTTGGGTTTTTTTTTTAAAAAACTATACATTATAGTTATTGAAATAGATTTTTGTAGTTTGATTTTTTATGTGAAGATGAGTGAATTAGTGTTGTTTTTATGGATAACATGCTTATACTTGGATTGTTCCTAATAAAGATTTATTTTCAACAAAAATCAATTTTTTTTAATGGTGATGCTAAGCAACTTTGAACCCTGAAATTTATCAGACATAATTATAATAATAATAGTGATACATATTCATTTGTTGCAACATGTTCCAGTCCCATTTAATATTACTCCTACAAAAAATCGGGATCCTCATTTTATATAACAATACATATATAAACTCGATAAGTCGGTCACGCAGGGGCGGGCACATGTGACCGACTTATCAAATTTCATATAAATTTTTTGAATTTTATTTAATAAAATATAATAAAATGTTTAAACAATTATAAAATTATTCATTACTATTATGAAAAAAGCTTTCTAAGGTAGGTTTTTTTAAAGAAGCGTTTTGTTTTCTTCTAATTTGATGTTGTAGGTCTCTCATTCCTGATGTTACTGAGTTATTTATTTTTATATCAGAATTTTGTTGTAAATAATTAAATAGACTGTATATGATATTGGAGCACTCATAGTTTCTTATTCTTCTGGTGCTTCTTGTACTGCGGCAATTATCTCCTCATCATCAATTATTTCAGAGTTTTCTATTCTAGAGTCAATATTAATATAGTTACTTGCTGCAATACCATCAACATTCAATTGATTAATAAGTAATTGGACTGCATCTTCATCTTCTAATAAATATTCTGATTCACTTGGTCTCATTTCCTCATCTTCTTCAAACATCTCATCATTAGGTAGAATGTTCTTTGCCAACAACGGTATATTGTATCATCAGTTACATTATCCCAAGCTTGTGCAGTCCAATTAATTGCATTCAAAATATTTAACCTAGGAATATCAACACCAAGTTCTTGGTTTCGTCATATGCTTGAATCCTGTCTTGGCATAATAATTTTCTATAATGTGCCTAATACAAAAATAAATAAGGTAAATTTTCTTATATTTATCACTAAAAAAAAATGAATAATTACCTTAAATGATTGTATTATACCCTGATCAATTGGCTGAAGATGGGAAGTTGTATTTGGTGGAAGAAAATGCAATTTAATATTGCTCAATTCTTCACCTTCTTCCGATTGATGTGACGAAGCATTATCTACTAATAATAAAATGTTTCTTCTTTTTTGCATTTCTTGATTAAATTGTCTAATCCATCCTTGGAAAATAGAACGTTGCATCCCAATAATACCACATGGGGAGTGATTTTTTATCAATATTATGAATATATCGTGGATTTTTATATTTATAGATAAACACTGAGGTAATTTATGAGTTCCGATTACATTACATGCAAGCATTATAGTGATTCTATCTTTTGGTTTCTTTAATTCAGTAATAGGTCCACTGGAAAGAGATGTATTAGGTTCTAATTTCCAATAAAGACCAGTTTCATCTGCATTATATACATCTGCCAATTCACATTGTGCAATTATAGATTGTAGTTCAGTTCTAAATGCAGGTAATTCATTAATTGGTGCACTTGCTTGCTTCTCCTAATTTATAATGTTCTTTAATATTGTTTCTTTTTTTAAAATTTACAATCCACCCCTATTTAAAATCAATAATTGATATTTAATGAATTAATACACAATTTAAAACAAAAAGAAATTGATACTTACATGTGATGATTTGAAATCGGAAATATTAAGTCTTTGAGCAAATTGAGCCGTCTTTTGACTTAAGATCGCACCAGTTATTGTACAGTTAGCTTCATTTGCAAGATTCACCCAAATCGACAATGCTTCCTCTAACTGTGGCCATCCACCTCCACTATCACGTTTTTTATTGGCATCTGTTGAATTTTCTGCAACTGCAAGCCGTTTCTCAAAATATCACCCACAGTTGATTTACTTATTTCAAATAATTCAGCAATTGTTTCATGTGACTTGTATGGATTATCACGTTTATATTCACATAATTCCTTTTTTTTAATGGCTGTAAGAGTTTTTAATTTCCTTCCTTTTTTTACTTCCGCCTTTACTAGTAGGTCCAGATGTTCCTTCAGCATTATTTCTTTGTGTGTTCATTTTAATTAAAATTTTCATTTTTTGTTCTTTTTAAACGAAGTTAATATTTTTTTTTTAATAGTATATTTAAATTTAGATACAGTCCACGTCTATAACGGATCATTGGGCCAGGAAATTTATCCGTTATAGAGAGAATTCGGTATAGACAATTGTACTACATTAAGTCATGTGGAATAAAAAATTTTTTTTATTTGTTATTATTACTATTACAAAAAACAGTCTAATTTATTGTTTTGTTAAATTCTATTTTTTTTAATTTTCTTTTTGACATTTTTTAACAGCTTCAATTCCTCATTTGTAAATTCCTTAAACTGTTGTTCAACAAACAAGTTTACTTTTTCAATAGCCAATAAAGCATCTTGACTTGAAATAGGTGTCTTTGATCTCTGATTTTCTCCATTAAAAATTAAAATTCAACATAGAAATTATTACTTCTTCATTCAGCAAATCATCATCATCAACTGTTTTGACATTTATTCAGATCAAATGACTCCAATTCTTGCAAATGCCATTTTAGGAAAAAGTGTTAAATGAGAAGATGGTCTTTTGGTAAATGGACAACAAATCACATATGAAGATTTGAAGTCTCATGGAATATTAATGCTTGAACCAGTTGACATTACTCAATATGAATTTTACATACATATTCCATACCTTTGGGTTTGGCTTTTAATAAAAGCAGCTGCTGATAGGCCAATTTTCAAATTTTGGGATTTGATGATTAATCCTAAGGAACAGTTTTATTGGAAACAATGGGAAAAGCTTAATGTTGAATTTTGGGCCTTGCATATATGTTTATATTCAGCACTTGGAAATAGAACATTAAAATTAAAAGAACTGCTAAATGGAGTATTGTGTTCAAATTCATTTATAGATAAAGATGTGGAAATTTCTGGTTAAAATACAATATTTAAGGAATCAATATCCATCCAGTACAACAATCAACACCAACAATCAAACATTATAAATACCACATTGCGAAAATTTACCAAATCTATTTACTTAAAAATAAAATTTATAAAATTTAAAAATGAGCCAAACACCTGCTTATCTCACTCAAACACTCCGAAATCAATTATTACAATTAGCCAAGAAGATGCCCAGAGGAGAAGAGTTAGTTGTTACAGAAGAAGGGGTTAAATTAGGAAGAATGGGGAGGAACAAATTTTAGAAGAAACATCACCTAAACCACCCACCAAAATTGATGAATATCTAGATGAATTTAGAGTGCCAAGAGATGATGAAAAAGTATTACTATAAAGTCTGGAAAGATATCACCCCCCGAAAGATAGCACCTTCCAAAAATAGTGATAATTATATGTTTCACAAGATAAACAAAAAAAAAATATTAAGGGAAAAAAAGAAAATTTTCCCAATGGAAAATTATATACCTTGTCACATTAAATCATCATATACTATATTTCAAAAAAAGACAGTAGTTGAGTTTGCAAAAATTCATGGAAGAAATGAGGCTA